AACAAAAATATATAACATCCCTGGTGGATGTTATCTTTAGATAATTAGACTTTTTATGCCATATCATCAAGTAGTCACACAACAAAGCCAACATCAGACTCAACATTTATGCTGTTTTTATGCATACCTTTTAACTGACATAGAGAAAACTGTCAATGTGAAATCAGATTATTAAAATAAATAAGTAAATCTTCATTATTTACATTATTTGCAGCTAGACTAATGTCCTCATCTTTGTTGTTAATATTACAATCTTTTGGCCAGTGTGCTAGTATTCCAGGTGTCTGTCAATCTAGGTAACCTTCAGTGAATTTGAAACTGATACAACTTGGAAAGAGTTAATAAGCCATAAAAAAATGAATGAATGAATCAATCAATCAATTGAACTGATCCAAACTCAAAGACAATGACATTAGTCCAACTGTGAATGATGTCACATTACATCCCATAATCCATTAGTCATAGAGTTACCACATATACTGAAGCCATAACAGTGGTGGTGTGTCTAGGACAAGATAACCTGACGGAACCCATCCCTCTTCAGCTTTAAATAATGTAAATAATAACTTCTCATCCCAGAAATTCAAGCAAAAAATGAATTCTCATGGGTTTTTTTTAAATTTCAAAAAACACAAGACAGCATAAAAATAAAAATATTAAGAGTGCATTCCCTATATAAAACAAGATAAAAAAATTAAGTCACCATATCTGACTTCAATTGTGAACATTAACTTGATAAAAGAGCATGATGGGAGCTGCAAGAGGCAAAGTTGTAACAACTTTGCACACATACTTGCAGGCAGGTGAATTCTAACTCTTTGAAGATTGTAACATTTAATACTCACAAATACGCATTCTGCAATGGTGTCACTCAGTGCATTTGAACATGCATTGTCTCAATCAGACAGTCTGATAGAAGAGCTCCAGGCATTGAGTGCACTTGTGATGTCATTGAGTGCACATCTTCGGGGTTATTAAGTGCAATCCAACAAATGCACTCCTACTAGCGCCAATATGCAATGCACAAGAATAATGCACTCAAACATAGTGCTGCTTGAGGGGGGGAGTATTTGGTGCAGTTACATACAGACACAATGAGATTGTTCAAAAACAGCATGCAGATAATGTACAAAAACAACAACATCAAATTAGAATAGATAACAAATAAAAAAAGGCCAAGTGAAAATAATTGGTTTAATCATTTGAAAAATGTCATATAGATTATACTTGTTTGGGTAGGAGTGTGGGATGATAAAGAATATATATATATATATATATATATATATATATATATATGTCTCATAATGTACAAACACACATACACATATATGTATGTATGTATGCATGTATGTATGTTTGTAAATGTCATATATATATATATATATATATATATATATATATATATATATATATATATGTATGTATGTATATACACACATTTTTATATATATATATTTTGATGGTGCTAAAAAGGTCTTAGTCTGACCTACTTGCTAAAATTTGACCAAATGGCAAAATAGAATACTTTTTTCTAATGTCTCCTTAGTAAAGCTGATAACAATTACATTTCAGCACACACTTTTTGTGTGTGCATGTATATATATATATATATATATATATATATATATATATATATATATATATATATATATATAGATAGAGAGAGAGAGAAATAAATAGAGAAAGAGAATTTATATAATTAAAAAAAATTCAATATATATATATATATATATATACATGCATACACACACGCATATATATGAATAAAGAATTATATATGAGTATATAGTGAAATTTTGTGAAGTGTGTCAGGCTGAAATTTAAGATATGCTATATTTTTGGATAAAGTGATCAATATTAGAGATAGAGTGTATGCAAATATAAAATTGGTGAGTTCTTTTCTTATTAAAATGATCAGAGTGAGTTTCCCAAACAGCTGTAAATTCATAATCACCATTAGACTCTTCCAACTCTTTACAAATTCTCTGCACTGTCTTCAGATTGACACCCAAGCACTCTGAAATGTTCATATTGGAGCTTTCGGTATGAATGCCAAGCAGTACAGCGTGCCATTTTCAAATTTCTGGTGGAGTGAATTGCATCATGGTGCTCTTTTTCTGACAGATGGTGTCCAACTGACCCTACTATACTGTGCAATAGACAAAATCAAAAAACAAACAACGCACCTGCCTGAAATTAAAACCATAAAATGGCAACAATTTACCCATCAAACCCTTCGTGTGGGTATATATATATATATATATTGTCATCCACAGACATACTGTTTTGCTGTATCACAGCTCATCAGTGTGGCTAGACATCCAATTGCCTCAAGCCAGGATTGAAACCAAGAGATTTTACCTCTGAGCTATCAGTGCCTGGTAGAGAGAAAGGTGGATTTTTACATACTTATTCTTCAAATAAAAACACTAATGACAGAGAGGGCTCAATTCATAGAAGAGCTTTGCAGTATTAGCAGTAGTAACCATTGTTTACAAATTCGTGTTTTTCCCTCAAGAGTACTTGACCAGAAATTAAATTTTCCAAGGGCACATAATATCTGCCTGCCTATAAGTTTCGCCCAGTATATCTCCCTATAGATTTATATATGAGTATGAATATATATATACATAGACACAGTGTTCATATATTTTGGTTTGTATGTTCTAGGTGTCTGTTTTTATTTACTCTTTTGTATACATGTGCCAATTGTATTTTACTTTGTAGATCATTTAATAAGAGTAGATAATGTTCACCTATCATCTGGTTCACATTCCTCTCTAGTCTTTTGAACAGGAGTAGAAGTTTAGCCCATTTTTCCTGTCTAAGATTGGTTTTTTCAGTTCCTTCTCATTCTCTTTCACTCCCAGTAGTCCCTTGCATCTTAGTAGCATTATTGCCTTGCTTGGGTTGTATTGATTAAAAAAAACATGAAATTATTGTTTTTTTGCCCATACGTTTATATATGTAAATGCCCATGTGTATAAATCTCTTGTGTCTTGAGGCATTTAATTGTTGTGGTAGAACAAGATTAGAGATTTCAATAAGAGAAAAAGATTAAATGTCCAAAATAAACATTTATTTTTCTCTAGCGATTTACTAAGTATAGCTTAGATGTGGCACAAGACCGAGCACCCAGTGAGGATTAAACTCACTCCTCAGTTGTAATCGATCTAGCGAGACAAGCTTACTAACCATTACACCATGCCAAAGTACCCTATTTATTTTTCTCTATGTATAAAAATATACTATCTTTGAATATCAGTATTTTCTCATTTATGTATGGTCCAACATTCACTTATACATAATTAGATTATATAATTTTTTAAGGATCTATTAAGCAATGATTATATTAAATAAGTAAATATTGCATTTCCTAGCCTTTAAGATGTATGAGTATTTGAAATTCTATCAATCTAGCTATAACTCATCCAAACTCTGTAGCTATTTATTTCAAACTTAAGTAGATAGACTACTCATTATAATACCAGCCTACTGGACACAGTGTTATTTTTTCACATTTTCTTTTAGATAATAATATCAATTCATTCATCAACAGTTTATCAATGCTTTGCAGGTTATTTATAGCCACAAAATATGTTTTTTAGATTGTAAGAATACTTTTTTTGAGATAATAATGATGATTTAGTGATACAAGTCTTACTAATTAACTCACATCTGGGTGGAGAATAGGTAGATTCATACCTTTGCCTAGGGGTATTTGTGCATAAGTGAATATAAGAACCCAACAGGAATTGGCTCTTTGATTAACAATTCCAAGTCATTATCCATTATATCACCTGCATATCCACACTTACAGCAGGTGGTACTCCCGGGCTGTCACCCATCTAGGTACTGATCAAACTCAATGTTGCTTAACTTGGGTAATTGTAGAGGAACCGGTGTTTCAATGTGATGTGAGCATAAACTATAAATATATATATATATATATATATATATATATATATATATATATATATATATATATATATATATATATATATATATATATATATATATATATAATGATCTTTTACAGACGTATTTTTATATATGACACTCTATTTAAACTTTTCATTTACCTAAATATCACATTCTTTTTTCAGGTTTAATTTAAAAACAGAATTTAAACTAATTTTTGATAATACATTTTTAAGATTTACTTACAATAAAATTAACTCTGAATTAATTCTAAAGAAAGCCTTATCCCACATCTTCCCTCTTGGTGATAATGAGAGAACATACTCATATTACAAAAGTGTGTGTGTGTATGTGGTATTTTTAACACAGATTTCCTTTCCTACATAAATGAAACATGAATACTTAACTTTTCATCATATGTGTGCTGGACAACACTCAGCCACAGATGATAAAACAAAAAGGGGAGGGGGGAAACAGAGTTAGACTGTCCCCGAGACATAATAACAGCATATTAAAAATTCCCAATGAGTTAATTCTAAAGAAAACCCTATCTTCTTCAAATGCATAATAAAAGAATGCACATATTCACACATGCTGTGAGGTGGGGGGATTTTTTAAACAGATTTTCCTTCCAACATAAATTAAACATGCATGAAAGTAAACATACTTAAGTTCTCATTGTATGGGTATTTATCTGCACTCTCACATCATTAGATAATGTGACACAAGGTCAAGGTTCAATGTGGGAACTGTTCAAAAATTTCTCAAGCCACCTGAGCACTTCCCCTTTTGAGTGTGCCTCAGGCACCAGGTAATAAATTTTGCCCCCTCCTGAAGTAAAGGTACTGGGGGATGGCCCTCTTGATCTTGAGCTGATATTAATTTCAAACTATCCTGGCTCATTGTATATGTGCTGGACAACAGTCATACACATCATCAAAAAAACAAAAGAAAAACAAAAACAGGAGAAATAGACATGAGATACTTCTCAGTTTTAATGATTGTATAAAGATTTTTTTTATGTGACCAAAAAATATAATTTTAAAAAAAGCAAAGAAAGAAAGAATTCTGGAACTCACATCAGCCTTCTTCCCTTTTTGAGATTTAACATTGAATTTCATTTGTTCGTGATATTTCTCCATCAATAAACCAGTCAAAACATACATTTTCTTCATCAAAAGGGGTTTAGCTTTTTTTGCAATTCGATTGGCTTCCTGTAAGTAAGAAACAAAAAAAAAAACATTATTCATTGTGAATCCATGATTGACAACCTATCTGGTACAAGGGCCGTGTGAGGACCCCAACTGAATTTATGATACAGAGACTACTCTACTACATCTCAATTTTAATAAGGTAGTATTCATATAAAATACAGATTTTATTGAAACCTAAATATGTACAATACTGGATCATATACAATATAGGTGAACAATTCAACTAGAAAAATTTTAAATAAATAAAATGTCTCTAAATACAAATTAGAGACATGTCATAATAGATCATTCTGTCTTAAATCAGCAATGTTTTGCAGCAATTTTTAAAATCAACCTGAGATTTTTTCATTAAAAGTTGAATAATTTTAACAAATTCAACATTATTGATGAAAAATAGTGAATTTTATATAGCATTTTTTGAGACTTAGCATGAGCAAAACAAATTCCCAGATTTGGACAAAAAAAAAAGATACCAGAATGATGTCAAAATCTGCAAAAATTTTTAATTCCATAAATTGTTGAGGTGTTTTACAAAAATTGTTTCTTTTTTGTTTTTAGTCAAGTTTTTTTCTTTAAAGACAGGAATAGACTAGACACATGAAGATTTCTTACTGAGAGCTCTTACTACTTTTACTTTTTACTGAGACGGTTACACAGACTGTTACTGAATATGTTGTTCTTTTATTTATACTTGGTGTGCTGACACAGTATTAAACACAAGAATATGCATGAATATTTAACAGAAAAATTCTCAGCTCAGTTTGAAAGTGTGTTATGTGAAGAGGATAAAATTTCTAATAACTTAATAACTATACATGCTTAAAACCTGTAATCTATAGATTAGTAATTTGATATATATTTTGTAAGTTTTTCTTTGTAAATTATAAGTTAATTAAATTTTACTTTAACTTGGTATCTACTCTGGATATTTTATTTCATTAAAATAAATGCTTTTATATTCCATAAATAGTTGAGGTGATTTACAAAAATTTCTTGTTTTTTTTGTTTTTAATCCAATTTCTTCTTATGAATAGTTTTGTATAAGAGGGAATACACTAAACATGGGAAGATTTCTTAATTCTTGGCTGTTATTTCTTTCTGCTACTCAAACTATCATGCAGACTATCTTTCTCTTGGACTGACTGCTTGATACATTGTCATTTTATTTATACCTCACATGTGGATGTTATAGAAGACTCAATAACCTAATAACTATACATTCTTAAAAGCTGAAGATCTGCAGGTTAATAAGTCTATATATGTTTTAAATGTTGTATAGTTTTTATACAGGGAATAGATGAGACACAGAAAGATTTCTTACTGACTTTGACTCAGATTGTTATATCCAGCTGCTACCCAAACTATCATGTGGACTGCCTACTTGATATGTTGTTCTTTTATTTATACCTGGTTCACAGGCATAGTAGTAGACACAAAATATGCATAGATATTTAATAGAAACATGCTTGGCTCAATTCTAAAGTGTGTTACTGGAAGAATATAAAATTTCTAATAGCTTAATAACTATAGATGCTATTTGCCTCGGGGTTCTTGATAGGCTCCAGAGGCGGATATGCAATATAATTGGCCCTGCTCTGGCATCTCGTCTACAGTCACTTTCTCACAGACACGCCATTGCCTCTCTCTGTCTGTTCTACAAATACTTTCATGGTAATTGCTCCGAGGAGCTGCATTCGCTGGTTCCCAGACTTCATGAGTTCAAGCTTGGGGTGAAATACTTAAAAAAAAAAAAAAAAAAAAAAAAAAGCTGTAACTTAATAATTCAATATAGGTTTTAAATGTTGTGTAAATTTTATCTTTCTCGATAAATTATAAGTTAATTAAATTTTAAGTTGGTGTCCACTCAGTAGGGATATCAATATCTTATTAATAATTTTCAATAAAAAGATGTTTTTATTTTGTCTGAAATTGATTAATTAATAGAATATGTTCTAATAATGTGTTTATGATGATTTGAATCTGTCTAATTTGTTCATTTTATCAAATCTTAATTTATGTAGATTTTTAAAGTTTTTCTTCGCAAACACAGCAACTGCTTGAGTCATTATTGAAATTTCGAATAATCAATAAAAAAATATGATTAATCAAGCACAGAATAAAACAGGGATAATGAATGACTAAAGAAAAAACGATCACTGCCTTTGTAAGAGTCATGCAATCCTAGTTATGTAAGTGCTAATTCTTCTTTCTTCTTACCACCTCATTACTCAGGTAGCATGAAGCAACACTGCTCATTCTCTTCTATAACTATGCCAGTGATATGACATTCTGGCAATATGAAAGGGAAAAGTGCACTCATGCCTTTCCTGGAGGCATTATTGCAAAGTAAACATAGACAGTCGCAGCTGAACCTGAAATGTATTTTGTTGAGTTCATTTCTCAAATGGCAATGTCATCTATTCTCAAAAATTAATCATAGAACACAGCATATACAAAAGTAAAAATTGTGGATGAGAGAAACCAATATACCCTTGTAACGATTATTAATGATAGTGCTTTTTTTTGTTATATTTTTGATCAACTAGATATTGATATATTTGGGATATATACATTGATATATTTGGGAAGGATATTAGAATAATTCAGAATCTATACTGGCAGTAAACCACCTGGCATATGGATAGAAAATGAAATTCTGTAAATATGCAAAAATAGAAAGAGGTGTAAGACAAGGATGTGTCTATTCAACCTATACAGAGAGATGATTCTGAGAGAATTAGAAGTCCTACCAGGATTTATTATTGACAGCCACAATCTTAACAACATAAGATATACAAATGACACTGTTAATAGCAGACACAGAAAGGAAACAACAAGAACTTCTATAGAAAGTAGTGAAGGAAAGCGAGAAGAAAGAACTAAACATCAATTACAAAAAGAGAGAATGCATGCTTGTTAGCAAAAAGAAACAGCCCAACATGCAAATTACAAATTGGAGATAACAAAATAAAACAAATACAACAATTTGAATATCTGAGAGGTATTTTAACAGAAGACAGAAAGTGTGACATTAATATCCGAACGCACTTTAGGATAGCCAAAGTTGCATTCCAAAAGTTAAGCAAAGTATTAAGCAGGATAATTTTGTTAGAAACAAAGAAAAGGGTGCTGAGTACCAGTTCTCCTATATGACAGTGAATGCTGGACAATCTCTTCACAGATGAAGAAGAGACTTGAAGCAACAGAAATATGGTTCTACAGAAGGATACTGAGATTACCATGGACTGAACATGTGAGCAACAACACATTTTTAGGGAAAATAAAAAAAGGACACTTATACATAGCACCAGAAAGAGATGTTGAAATTTTTAGGGCACATAATGAGGAAAGAGGGCATGGAAATGTTGATACTCACAGGACAGACTGAAGGGAAAAGGGACAGGGGAAAACAATACATAATCTACCTAGTGAGTATGGTGGAACAAGGTTTAGGAGAGATAACAAAAAGACCAAATTTATTAAGAGTTACAAAAGACAGGAAATTGTGGAGAGCCACAATTGTCAACGTCCTGAAGAGACACAGCATATAGAAGAGGAAGAAGACTTAATAGTGAGTAATATTTTTTCTTATCCTTAGTCTTCTTCCTGCTTTGTTTTAATATATTTGCATATATCATGTGAATATATAACTCTTTTAAAATGTCCATTTTTAAAGCTATAATTAGTGATAGATTAAAGTAAATGGAAAGAATACAAAAGTGGTGAATGAAAGCGGGGTGAAAAATGTCCTTTCATCACATGGAGTTGAATCACTCTCATTTCCTCCATATTCCAATTGTAAGGAGGAAGTTTCATCCAGACAGTTTTTTTTCCAAGAAACACTACTGTGTGGAACAGATTCCTGTGGATGCTTCCCTAAATACTACAATCTTAACCCCTTCAAGTTCAGGAGCAATCATTATCTATCTTCCCTATCCTCCTAATCTTCACTTCCTACCACCTCCTCCTTCATTCATATCACACACCTCATTCATCATAACCATTTTAACAGTAACCATCTACCTTGAGTAGCACACTAGTCTTGTGTTGCATGAATGTTTGTATTAAAAAAAGTATATGTGTGTGCAAAGTTCCTATAAAATTGTGAGTTTCTTGTTGGTTGGGTAGACAGATGTGCCTGTATGCTGTCAAGTACGAATAGAACATTTGTATAATGTATGCATTTAATACAATATTAGGTTTCCTAGGGGCCAAAAGGTTACCCAGAGGGGAAACAAGTCACATCTTATTTTTAAGGTATCATGCAGCTAAAAGAGAAAAAAGAGACAGATTTTTCTGCTTTTGCTTAATATACTGCTTTATATATTTTGTAGTCATTGGCAGAAGTTCTTTGGAAGACAAGTGGGGTAATTCCACATGCTCAGCAAAGCTGTAGCTGAAACATGGTGATCAGTATTAATGAAAATGGAAATTCTAATTAGAAATTTAAATGACATTTTCAAATCAATTTCTTGGCATTACTTTTCATTTTGAAAACATTCTGATTAAATCTCATTATCTCTTTAAAATAAAAAAATACAATGTCCTATCAAAATAATATCCTATAAACAATATTGTTCCAAAATTAATTTTGAATTCCTAATACTAAGTCATAATGGAGCTTTCATATTCTTTTCAGTTTAAAATACCTTGCAAATGTTTACTATCTTAATACTTGTAAAAATACATTAAATTGGCAAAGATAACAGAGTTATTATTCACTAATTTACAGCAAGAAATGAGGTTTCAAACGTTATCAGAGAATGAGCTTCCAACTTGTCAAGATCCAATTTCTTGAAGGTTTTCATTATAGGAGGTCAGGCTGAGAGGTAAGTGCCAGGTAAGCAGTAATTTAGTATGTATCACTTTACTGGTCAATATGATTCAAAGAGTTCAGTGAGAAAACAAGTCTTACAGGTATATAATGTCTTTCTATTACATTGCTTTTCTAGTCTCTTATAATGGAACATAGCTTTTAGGATGAGTGACATTAGCAACAGAGATAAAATAACGTTTATAAACAAAAAATACAATAGAAAGGTGGTGAACTTCACCTCAGGGCTATATTTAAATGGTTACTGATCCAAAACTGACAAAATTTAATACACATATCACTTCACCAGACCTAAGAATAGACACAAGAAAAACGAATCCTTCTCATGCCATATGAGGTACAGGACCTCACCACACCAGTGTTGCTGCTATAATTTTGGTAGCTTATAGCATAGCAGAATGTGAGATTGGCATGCCGAGTTCAAATCCATGTCAAGATCATTACATTCACTTTCATACAAATGCCTTTGGCAAAAGTATGAATTTATTTCTCCCTCCTCCAGAATAAATAGCAGGGTAGACTTGGCTCTCTAATATTGGTTAGCAACCAGTCTAGGAGAAGGATAACTCTGAATTCAGAACTGATTGGGTGTGAGGTTGGTTTTAACCTGTAAAAAGCTTAAGAATAGAACATTTTTTAAAAAGTGGTTAAAAGAGAAGTTTCATATTCTAAAATTCCAATACTTACTCTTATTTTTAATTTTAATTTTTGTTCAAGTTAGAAATGTCATTTATTCTGTGAAAAAAGAATCAAGTTTCATGCTCAGTGCAAATGGTCATTGATATTATCAATAACATCTATTGGGATTCAAGTTACCCTCAGACCTCAATTGGAACTCTGATATGATTCATTGTTAAAGAGGTTAGAAAAATGTCCAGTTCCTTGTACCACTCCAGAAATTACCTGACTCCTCTTACAATGATCTATCTTTACAAGAGTCATGTCAGACCAAAAATGGAGCATTGTTGGAGCTGATCACTTCTCATTTTCTAACCTTGATAGAGTTCAGAATCATGTAGGTGATGAATTATTTTCCACCTACAACCACTTCTCCACAGACAAAACATTATAGACCTCATGCAACACTATCACTATTTCCATAGCAAAAGTGCTACATTCCTCAATCTCACCAGTTCAGACCCTTACCACTAAGACTCACCATGCTACATATACAGAGTTGAATCATCCTAATTCCCTTTGTATTCCATTGGCAAAAAGGAATTTACATTTGGACAGTTTTTTCTCAATAACTGCTACTTTGCACACCAGGCTCCTGAGAGGATGTTTTCCCAATCACCATAGTCTTGGATTCTTCAAGTCTCAAGTCAGCTGTTATCTATTTTCAACAATCTCATTCCATAACCCTCAACCTTGAGTGGCTCTTGCACCTTATACTGGTTAAACAACAGTAAAAAGATAATAATAATAATTCTTCTGTAAAAGAACATGAATTTTAAAAACTAATTTAGCCATCTCACTTTTTGATTTAACATACTAGTAGTTGTAATAGTAGAAAAATATTAAATGTGTAAAAGAGATGAACAATATAAAAAGCAAAATTTGATTCTTTTGTATTGATTCTCCAAATCTGACCTTCAAAAGCAACTTGGCTGCCTCCAGGTAGTGTCCAGCCTTGCGGTAGAGTTCAATGGCATTCATGCTGCGTCCTTTCTCCAGTAAATGTCCAGCATATTTGGTCAAAAGGGAGTCTATGTCCTTGACTGCATGCTGTCTTGCCAAATCAATCGCCATGTTCCATTGGTTCAGATGAATGCAGCAATCAATGGCATCACGGACACGATTACACTGAAGTAGAAGGTGAAATGAAAGCATGAATATCATAGATGAAAATTATAAAGACAGCAACATGTTCTCTAGCCAAAAGCTATTTTACTATTGTCTAATGTTGACAGTTTGTTGGTATAAAAATGAAAAATTGATGAAAGTGAAAGATAGAAAACTACCTAATCGTAAGCAAAGCAAAAAATTTTTTTCTTTCTTTTCAAGTCACTGCTTTGTTCTTGTAAAATTCAAACTAACCCAATATTGAGTTATTAGATCACTCATAAACCCATTGGGTTTCTATTAAAATCAGTTCATGATACAAAATGATGAAGTAACAATATCCTCAATTTTATTATGAATTACACATTTAATTTGTATTTAAAGATGGCAAAAGAAGGTTTATTGTTACACTGGGCTTCATAGTTAATACACTGTGTAAAATTTGGAGCTTAAAACAGGTGCAGTCCTTTTCAAAATAATAAGTGTATTTTTTATTTGTTAATAATAAGTAAAAAAATTTCTGGACCAAAAACAAATAAAAAGGACCTAAAATGCCTTAATGTAAATATATCCTGATTTAAAGTATGAAAATAAATTATTCTACGACATCAATAGATATATGTTTTACTTCCTTAAAAAAGAAATTTCTTCCGTAAAATGTACTTTGAAAACAAAATTAAAAATTAATGATAAAGGACCTAAAATGCCTTAATGTAAATATATCCTGATTTAAAGTATGAAAATAAATTATTCTACGACATCAATAGATATATGTTTTACTTCCTTAAAAAAGAAATTTCTTCCGTAAAATGTACTTTGAAAACAAAATTAAAAATTAATGCTAAAGACAGTAAAAGAAGGTTTATTGTGCCACTGAACTTCATAGTTAATACATTGCATGAAAATTTGGAGCAATAGCTTAAAACAGGTGTAGTCTTTTTCAAAATAAGTATATTTTTTATTATACATACTTCCTCATATCTATTTCAAAATATATAATAGCAGCAAATCAGTACCCATCAATATATTTAACATCAAGTCATGTGACATATATAGCTTTTTCGCTTTTCAAGTAGTTGTTTATAAAAAAATGTTCTAATGTAGTGTAGTGAATTGTTTAAATATACTTTGTGTTATGTCTATTTAAATTAATTTATTAATGTTGTTATAATTTGTTATGAATGCTTATTATTTTTCACATACATAATATTTGGAATATAATATTCAGGTGCTTGTTTATATATGTGGATTGATATAAGTATGTGTAAAAGCATAGAAACAGCCCTAGCTCAAGAAGCCCTTGTATAATTTTATGGAAATTTGTTACTGCACTTGGCAGAGGTTTAAGGTACAATATGCATTTTCTCTAAAACTTTGTTGTTGCTCACATGTTCAGTTCATGGTATCCTCAGCATCTTTCTGTAGAACCATATTTTTGTTGTTTTCAATTTTTCTTTACTTGAGGAAATTGTCCAACATTTCCTACCATATAGGAGGACCGATATTATGTAACAGTTCAGCACTCTTTTCTAATGCAATTTTTCAATTTCTTAATACTTTGCTTAGCTTTTGAAAGGCATTTTCACTAGCCAAATTCACCTTCAGATATTGGTATCACATTTTCCATCCTCTGTTAAAACACTTCCTAGATATTTAAATTTTTGTACTTGCTTGATTTTGGCATCTCCAATTTAATTCACATGTTGGGCTCTTCTTTTTGCTGACAAACACATATTCTGATTTCTTACAGTTGGTGTTTAGTCCCTTCTTCTTGCTTTCCTCTACTACTTTACATAAACAAAATAGGAGGATAGGCAAGTTCACTATTTTATACTTACTTCATTGACCATCTTCGTACTTTTGCACAACCAAAAGATACCAGCCAGCCAACTGCATATTAGATTAAAGCCAACTGTTAGTAGATGCATGAAGTTCTAATTTGTCACTAATACTTCAGTTTGTATGCTTCCTTTTTACACTTTCCTTCTGCTTAAATGCCATGATGAGGGCAGGACAATTAATATATTAATGAAAATAATAAAAATAATAGATTTCTCACAGCTACTTTCTTATGCACCCATCTTTGTTTACAATTGAAAGGCCCACCACTACTACCAAGCGGTCACTTTGAGAACTAATACACCTCGTTCTGCTAAGCCAGCAAATTTGGAAATACATTGCTGATGATTTGGAAGTTTTTTTCCTCCAGATATTTTTTTTTTTATTTTGCCTGCAGATTTTGTCTGTTGCATCTGAAGACCATTGATAGGGGTTGGGGGTCGTACATGAAAGGTATTTTTATCAGTGTGCCATGAATATCACTATGGTGTGGTCATAGGGTTGCTGTACACCTAAGCATCAGACGAGTTACCTCCACATATCTATGTTGAAAGCTGGAGAGGTATTCTTCATTCATGCATAGCATGTATTGGGCAAGTCGACCTAGTAGAGACTATCCATCTCACAGTCAAACCATGACCAATGTCATCTGAACTGAAGGTACACCATGAATACATGGCTATTGATTCCCCTCCCCTGTCTACTTGACTTTAGGAGGCACTTCAACCAGTTATACTGTGTCATCACCACACTAGCTACATACATAGGTAGGAAGCCCAGTCTATCTCATTGTGCTAGATGGCTATTGACCCTACAAGAAGGTCTTGTTTTTAATCTTGCTGGGTGTCTAGCCAACTTTCTCACCAGAAAAGCCTGGTGGGCGAACTGGTTTAGTCACCGATGACCCAACCATGCAGCAGATAGTACTGGGGTACATGTTACCAGTAGCACTTGTAGAGATATCTTCTTTTTTCTTTTTTTTTTTAATCATTTCACCCCCGCCACCTCCCCAAAGCAAGGCAGTAATGCCACTAGAATGCAGGGGGTTACAAGGAGTGAAAGAGAATGAGAAGACTGAGAATAGGGACGATTGAGGAAACAGAGTTCAAGAAGACAGAAGATGGTGATTGACATTACATTTAAATTTTTGAAGATTGTAGTTAACAGGGAAGAAAGAAATCAGATGGGAGTCCCACAGGTGGGAAGTGCAAGAAAAAGAAACAGTTAGAGTAGAAGTGGCAGTTGCATCTAGCTTATTTCAACAGTAAATTGGTGGGACCTAGTTGCCAATATAGTAGAACATTTAAATTAATGTAATTGGAGCACCAGGGAGAAAGTTCATAAGAGCAGTTGCCATGAAAATATTTATAGAAAAAACAGAGGGAAACCATGTCACGTTGGTGAGAAAGTGAGTGAAGTCGAGATACCTGGTCAGAATCGATTACATTACAGACCCTGCTGACATAAGCTATGAATATACTCTGAACCTATTGCACAATGCAAATAAAGTATTTTTTCTTTATCAATTCTTATAGAAAAACATTGGACTCTGAATATTTTCCTCTTGAAAATTAACTAAAATATATTTCAAATACAGTCAGATGATGTCCGGGGAACCTCACTCTCTATTTATGTACAGCAGTAAACTCTTAAACCCAATAGTTTACGAGAAGCTTTTTTTTTGTTTTGCATAATTGACTGATGTCCTCATCTTTGTTAGTATCACAATATTTTGGCCAGTGTGTGTTAGTTCTTCAGGTATCTGCTGATCCAGGTAACTTTCAAGGAATTTGAAACCGATACGAACAACTATAAATAATATAAATAATGATAATTCCTCATCTCAGAAATTCAGATAGGAAGTAATTTTCATTATATTTTCTTCAAACTTCAAAAAGCAATAGATGCAAACAAAAGAAAATTTTTCTCTCTTACATCCATGCCTTGAACATTGTTGCCATATCTGGTCTGGTGCTCCTGATATATATTTAGAATCTGCAAAATTACTGGTCCTGGCTTCAGTGACTTTCCTACCACCATAATGTAGCTTTTCTGTGCATTTTCTATAAATACTTTCATTGTAATTGTTTGGATAAACTTCCCACTATGGTATCTAAACTTTATGAATTTTAGTGCAGTACAAGATTGGTGATATGGTCTCATCATTTTACACATGAAATGGTTGGATGTAAGGATAAGTTCTAAGCTAACAGTTTCTTTTCTTGCATTTCTCATTTGTGGAACTCTCTTCTGGCTTCATGCTTTCCAGTCAACTTTCATCCTGAAAAATTTAAATGTCAGTCGTTATCTTCTTTTCTTAATTCTTGTTCTTTTATTGTTCTCCCTCCTTAATAGTATTTTTCCCATATTCTCTAACACTCAGTAACACCTTGTGTCTTAGTGGCTTTACTGCCTTGCTTGGAATGAAATAATTTTTTTAAAAATTATATTTCCAACACAACATGAAACATGGTAAAAATTCACACCACCTTAGAAGATTTCTACCTTCAGTTGTAAACATTAGCTTGATACTAAAAATTACAGCTGCTAAGAGAGGTGAAATTGTAACAGTGTTTTCTTGAAACTTCAAAAAGGCAATAGATGCAAACAAAAAGACAATTCTCAATATACAGTGGGTCACTTGTGTTTGAATATCCCTGTCCACTAAAGTGATTAACTGCTCACTGCTGCAGACATCTGCTCAAACACATTTGTGTTTATTTACAGTAATTACATTGTTATAGTGTTGTCCTCTTCTTTACTGCCATATTAACAATGTTTCCTCTGTTGTACACTCTGGCTTTTTTCAGCTGATATATGTTGGAATTTTGAACTGAACCCTTTATTTAGTCCACGAGGGTAGATTGTTCTAAATCCATATGCCATGCCTTACTTGGATATCTCAGTTTCAGTTAATTCCCTTTAGTAACTCAACTCTACAAGTTTTTGTTCCCTCTGCTGTGGTCAGATATTGAACTCACAACTCTTTGGGTTAAGTCACTTTTTTGGATTACTTTAACCAATGCTTTTATCCACTGTGCCATATGTTGTGAATATGGCAATAAAGATGAGGACAAGTGTCTGAACAATGTAAATAGTGTAAGTAGTTACAATAGCGCATCTCAGAAATATAAACAGGCATTTGTGTTTGTTCAACATCCACAGAGCCAACCTGTGGTTTATACTGCAACTATGCTGAGCGGACCTTAGTTAAAGTTTCAGGGAAAAAGCACATAATCTAGCATGATCACCACTTTGAATAAGGACAGTATGCTCAAACCCTTACTTGTAACTTCATGCAAGTACAAACATCAAATAGTTTTGTCTACCCAAATTTACTCACCAGGCCAGCTATGTGCCCCACACTGATATAAAGAAGTCACCTCTTTGACAAATCAAGCATTGTGAGATTCAAACCCAGATCTCATGGCTAGAATGCTAACATCCCAACCACTTAGTCATGCACTTACTATATTCTTAATATTGACTGATTAACTTAAGGGTTAACAACATGCAATACTTAGAGTGATAGCCAACTGCAAATAGTTCATCTAAATAGACTGGTCAGATTTTTATTATGGAGAGAGGGGTTCTACAGTAGAAGCTGGACACTATCAGTTCAAAATTGACCAATTGCAATGTTGCTTAACTTCATTTACTGCCTGCCCCCATCATCCAACTTTACTGATTGGATGCTGATTGTATCAGCAGCAAATGTGGTCAATTGAATTACTCTAATATTTTCTGGTGGACAGCTAATGTGCATTATCTTCCTGACATGGACAGAAGGACTGATACAATAAAAAATTTTTTAAAATTTGCCCACGGCCAAAACAGAGTGGGCAGGCCTCTTTTTACGACATTAATTCTGCTGACTCTGCCAGGTCGATAATACCCATTAGTCTCCTAATAAAAATAAAATTGAAAATAAAAAGCTATTGATGTTCTGTTCATAAGAAAGCATAAAAAAAGGAATAATTTCCATAATAATGCATATAGCCTTTACAGATGCATACCTGATTAAGAAGACGGCAAGGAGGGAGGAGCACATAAAGTTTTCTCATCAAACCAAGACATTCACAAGAATTTTCATTTTGCCCTGTGTTATCAGTAAATTAAAATTTTGATTAAAACCTCTATTTTGGCATCTTTTCATGAAACCTTTCTTTTTTCTTGTCATGAAAACAAATAACTTTGTTATTGATATCAAGCTTTCCAATAATGAAAGTTTCACACACTCTCAGTGCTTTGTCATTCAGATTAATTTCTGACATCATTAATAATATCAGATACTGGTTGATGGCTCCATGGTAAAAAGGAGATGCTTGAAGTTCAATACCCTATCCTTTCGACCATTAACTATATGAGAAATAAACAGATTTCCCATATGTGAATCTGTAACACTATAAACTCAAAAGCTGCAAAATATTTTTATGAAATTTTGCATCCTACTAATAGAGATGCAAAAGGACATATTTGTTGTAATTTATTATCCTTTTCTATTTAACCTTGCTGTTGGGGCTTAGAATACACTGATTGCATCCCATGAAGAGGAGTAAGTCACCAAAAAGAAGGGTCCACATTTCAGGTGCATATTCAAGTATAAACCAGACCTATATCTACCTTTTGACTCAAATATAAACCAGATCTGTCTATCTTTTGATTCACGTATAACTCAAACCTATGTCTACCTTTTGATTCAAGTATGAACCAAACCTATGTCTACCTTTTGATTCAAGTATGAACCAAACCTATGTCTACCATTTGACTCAAATATAAACAAGACCTATGTGTACCATTTGACATGAGTATAAACTACACCTACATCTACCTTTTGATTCAAGTATAAACCAATGCTGTTTACTTTTTGACTCAAGTATAAACAAGACCTATGACTACCTTTTGACTCAAGTATAAACTCAACCTATATTTATCTTTTTGATTCTAGTATAAACCAGACCTGTCTACCTTTTTTACTAAAGTATAAACCAGAACTTATGTCTATTTTTCTAGTAATTCATTATGATTTTTTGTCCTATAAGACTTATATTCAAGACTAAATAAAAAAAAAAACAGACTGATGCCTTTAAATAAACCAACCTAATCTAACCTTTTCTATCTTCGACTTAATCATTATAATAAAGTCACAATGGATAAACATTTTAAAAAATAACATTAGAAAATAATGATCTTATTATAAGATCATTATTTGCTATAAGACCAATATTTCAACCTGAATAAAGATGTTAAATGTTTAATTCATAATCAATAGGGAAGTTTATCTCCGAGGACTGACAACATATCACCACACATTTGTTAACACATTTATATTGATAATAAGAGAAAAGAATTTATTGTTCACCTTAGTTAAATAAATCTGCACACTAAGTTTGCTGGGAGAATAATAAAACAAGAACAAGTGTGCTGGGGTTAGACATGATTATCTAAAGTGTTGAATCTAATGTATACACATTTTTATAGCTGTAATAAATGGCCTTCCTAGTTAGGCTATAAAAATTTTTAATTAATTTTCACAGTAACTTGCATGGCAGTTAAATATGAACACAGCTTTATTGACTTTATTGCTGAGAGTCAAAAAAAGGAAAAAACTTCAAAGGAGAGAAAGAAATATATAATATTCATGAGAAAATTAAAATTTTTCTTTAACCTTAATGAATGCTTCCACAGCTTGATCACACATACCAACTGTAACAAACATGGCTGATATTTTCTGAAGAAAAGAAAAAACAAAATTACATGGATACTGGGAATATGGGAATTTCAAGGTACAGCTTTTTGATTTATGAATAATACACAAATTCATGCATACATATATTTGAATAATACAAAGAAAACATTATTTCCTGTTTTAAATAGCGGCTTATTTACTAATTTATACCATGATTTAAATCATATAGACAAAGAAAACATTATATAGTTTGAAATAGCAACTTATATATACCATTATTTGAATAATACAAAGGAAATATTATTTTCAATTTGAAATAGTGGATTATTCATGAATGATTTTATACCATTATTTGAATAATACAAAGAAAACATACAAAGAAAATACATGTAGTAAGTAGATATATTTACACAAATATATTGACATATAAATTCATATAAATGTAAATTCATGCATATGCACATATACATATTAATATCCAAATATACACATGTGTGTATGGAGTGCCTCTTCATAAGTTTTCACAGTGGGGGAGGGTGTGCACAATTATAGCTTTGTCCAAGAGTAATTTTAGTAATTACCTATATATATGAAAGAATGTAATAGAACTTGAAAGACACTGTTGTAAAATGCCTCCTGGCAATTCTAGTGATAGGATAACTACACAAAACATTGTTAGGATGAATTACAGCTAGCAAGAAAGCAAGATGTCTTTGCTGTTTGCTAAACAACAATACATTAGAACTGAACAGTAAACATTTTGCTGAGAGAACTAGCAGACTAGGAATACAATTCACATTAATTAAAGGAGTTAATAAATTTATAAATTACTGAAATGAATGAAAAGTAATTAAAAAAATTTAGTCATACAGAATTTATCATAAGTATTGTAAATTTAACTAACTGGGTTGTTCGTCAGGATGCACTATAGTATCCACACACTTCCTCCTGGGGATGTTTATGTGTTTCATCATAGGGGTTTGGGTTGTATATATATTTTAAGGTACAGTGTGCTGTAATGGATTATGACTCAGAATGAGAAATTGAAGAACTGAGTTCAAATTCTGGTTGAGTTCATTACATTCACTTATGCACAAATACCCTTGAGAAAGGTAATCCATCTCTTCTCTCCTCTGCTATTGTTGAATAGCACGACAGAATGTTAGACATGGTTAGAAACCAGTCTACCACAGAAAGAAATAACAGTCTACTGCAGGAAATCTTCTGCTTAGTCAGTCATGAATTGAAAGAGACATGATTGCTCAAGCATGTATTACACATGACACTTGACTTGACTTTTTATATATTAGGAGACACAAGACAATAATTAGTTATCCTTCTCCTAGACTGGTTGCCAACCATGGCTAGAGAGCTCAGTCTGCCCTATTATTTAATCCATAACTGTGGGGACAAATGATGGATTCATACCATTCCCAAGGGTATTTGCATTGCTATGAGTTTAGAACCAATTCATTATATATATATATATATATATTGTCATCCACAGACACTGTTTATCACAGCTCATCAGTAAGCCATTGGCACACAGCAGGAATGAAGGTGAATTTAAGCATATTTATTTTTAGATAAACACACCGTGACTGAGAGAACTCAATTTGTTTTACCAAAGAGTCTTGTATTATTAGCAGTAATAGTCACTATTTACAAACTCAATTTGTCATCATTGCAAATTTCTAAATATCATAGAATTTGTAATATTCAAACTTATCAATTATTTGTTTATTTTTATATTACTTAATTAATTATAGATTCAATTTATTTTTCTACTTAAATATAAATTTTGTGACATTTCTAATGGAACTCTAGAGTATTAAGAATTTCAAATTTGAAAGTTAAAATTAGTGTTCATTCAGAAAAAGTATAAATATGAAATCTGATAAGTTCAATAAATTTATCAAGCATTTGGTCCTGATGAGTGCTTCAATGCAAAACTCTTGACTTGGCTAAACAGATAAGTTACTGAATATTATGGCCCTAGTTATTCTCCTGAATGAGTTCCTGTTCTCTCCAAACTCTACAACAGACGCTTTGCTGCTTCTTGCTTTCCAGCTTGTTGGAAATCCTTTTCTGTAGTTCCTGATTTTAAGTACTCTGGTAAAATTTCTGATCCTTTGAATTATCATCCTGTTAGTCTTTTACCTCTTTTTGGCAAATTACTAGAGGCTTTAATCAACTCTGAATTGGTTAAGCATCTCACTTCATATGGCCTTCTTTCAGATAAACAATATGACTTTTATGCATTAGCAGTTATTACTTAATTTGTCTATCAGGTTTTGGATAAGAATGGCAATGTTTCAGCTGTTGCTTTAGATATCCTGAAGGCATTTGACAAGGTTCAGATTAGAAGCTCAAGGGCTATGGTGTCTCTGGTTGAATATTTGACTTAATCCAATCATTCTTAACAAATTGTGTAATGAAGATCGTCTTGAAAGAACATGCTTCTAGATCATTTCACATTAATGCAGGGGTTCTATCCTTGGGCCTACATTGTTTCTTATCTCTATCAATAACCTTTCTGATATCATCAGTTCCCAACTAGTCATTTACACTGATGTCACAACTATTTACTCATGTCTTAATAGTAAGTCCGATAAGTTCAACAAAGTAAAACTAACAGCTGCTCTTGAAAATGTCCTCCAATCAGTTGTTAACTGGGACAAGAAATAACATGTAAATTTTAATGAACCCATAACAAAACTACTATCTTTTAATCACCATAAAGGACCATTTCTACCTTCTGTCAGCATGGCTGATGTTAAACCCCAAAAGAGCAACTTATTGCACCTTCTTGATCTCAGGTTTTCCTTCTCTAGCAATTGATTCAATATAATCACTTCACTATCAAGTGAAGTGATTATATTGAATCAATTGCTAGATCTACTGCAAGGAAAGTTGGTTCACTGTGTCATGCCAGAAAATTTTTCTCACCAGAATCCATCTCACACATTTATAAATCTACCATTTGTCCATATGTTGAATATTACTGGTCTTGTGCTCCTGCTATATATCTCAAGATTCTTGGCAAAATCTAAAGAAGGATCTGTAATGATATCAATCCTGACCTGGCATCTCAACTTCAGCCACGTTACCACTGCCATGACATGACTTGCCTCCATCTTTTTTATAAATATTTTTATAGCAATTGTTCTAATGAGATCTTTTCCTTGGGTTTATAGTCATATGAATTTAAGCAATGCTACTAGAATGGCAAATAGGTCACATCATTTTACTGTTGAGCTAGCTAGATGTAACTGTTAGTTATATTCTAATAGTTTCTTTTCTTGCACTTATCACTTCTAGAACTCTCTTCTAGTTTCTTGCTTCCCTACCACCTACAATCTTTAAAAATTTAAATGCAATGTCAATTACCATCTTCTGCCTTTGTGAACCTGTTCTTTTATTGTCCTTTCTCCTCATTCTCTTTCACTCCAAGTAATCTTTTGTGTCTTAATGGCATTACTACCCTGCTTGGAGTGAAATGATTAAGAAAAAAAACTCTATTGAGTGATTTTGGGCAGTAGTTCAGATAACCTGAAAAAACATGTAAAATTCTTGTCATTTTCAAGAATTTTTTTGCTTGTATTATTATTATTATCATTACTATATGTGTGTATGTGTGTGTATCTTTTCTATTATATTTAATATATTGTTTTTCTAGCACAATGACAGTCCTAGTGCTTAGATATTTTGAATGTTTTACCATTTGCTAGATTAATGCTTGAAACAAATATAACTTACCTAAACACCAGAAACTGGGAAATTGAACCACAGACTCTAGTTGCATCTCTTAAAATAACCCAACAAATTAAATTATAACTTATATGCTTGATTTGCAATAATCCCAGGCAAGCAATATTTATTTTTACACACACACATATATATATATATATATATATATATATATATATATATATATATATATAGTAATAAATACAGAATTCATAGTAAAAAGTTTTAAAAAAGTTTCAGCTAGTTTAAACCTCTTAGCACATTTCTCTTTAAAATCCTGGGATAATATTGCCATTAAAATTATGCACAAAATGCATAACTTGAATTTTTTCTTTTCTTTTTCCAAGATGAATACCAATACAAAAGCAAGAGTCACTAATTAAAAACAGAAGATGTTCAAAATCCAATAGAATTTATCCCAACCAAGTCATTTCTGTGAATTTTGATGGCTATTCTTCCTAAATTATTTTTACCCAAGATACTTACTGGCAAAAGCTCATGATTTTCAGGTAAGGCATTGATCATTTTTTCCAAGCCTGCAAAATCTTCAAGAATGTAGTAACAATCAGCCAAACGTACTTGATTTCTTCCTTGTTCATAGTAACTGACAGCTTCTTGCCTACAATTGGAAAAATATTTCAAAATAAAACAAAAAGCAGTATATTATCAGCTGATATATTTCAAGACCTTATTTATATTATTTACATTCAGACTAATGTCCTCAACGTATTATTTACATTCAATGTCCTCAACATTGTTGGTATTGCCATAATGTAGCTTGGAAAAACAGTGGTGGTCAACCCCTGCAGAATGAGGTAAAAATACTAGACTTGCACACTGGAAACTCTGATAGCTGAAAGAATCAATGCTTCTTTTGGGGTTTTTTTTTTTTTTTTGCTGCTGCTGCTCTAGAAACATTACTGTTATCTCTCTTTCTTTCTTTATTAATGATTGCCATATGGCAATTATTTCTATGCTATGCCTACTGAGGAGATAATTGTAGCCGAGCATATGCACTGATTGGTGACCACTATACATGCGACATGTCTCAGCAAAAAGAGAAGTGGCTGTGAAAGAAGTCCAGTGTGACAAGTAAAGGCAGCAGTGACAGTAGCAGATAAGCAAGAAGAACATTAGGTTTAGGGCCCTGAATTTTAGGCTTAGGATTGTCCCACAGGACAATAGTCCAGTGGATTATGGCATTGGTTCATGAATTTAGTGGCATAGTAATTATGGGTTCAATCCATTGACCAAGTTGAACAGAATCAAACTCAGTGAAAACAGGGCAAGCAATAATTGAGTAGTATTAAAAAGAATAAGATATCTCTAGACATGGGCAGTGGAACAAGAACCCTCTACATCACAGATTAAATAAAGGCTTCAATTCAAAATTCTCTGAAGGCTGACTGAGTCAAGAGGCATCTGAAGAAAGCCAGAGAACACAATGGATTCAAGGTTTTTTATCACATTAAAGCTCTTATTTAATCTCTCGTGAAAACAAAATTATAAACAATGGCCACTCTTCTAGATATTTCTGCATTAATGCAGGTCTCCCTCAGAGTTCTATCTTTGGACCTACATTGTTCCAAATTTTCATCAATGAACTTCTTGATGGCATCAGTTTTCAACTCAGAATCTATGCTGATTACAGAACTATTTACTCCTGTCTTAATAGTAAGTCTGATCAGATCAATAAGGTCAACATGACAGCTGATCACAAAAATGACCTACAATCTGCTGTTAACTGGGCGTGGTTGGTTAATTTTAATGCCTCCAAAATGAAACTGTTATTAATCATCTGAGAGACCACTTTCAGCCTTCAATCATGTTGCACCGGCCTCTAACACAAGGGAATTACACCGGTTCTCACTATATATAGTGCCAGTAATACCTACCCGGTGTAAGCAGCAACAGTACTACAACTGCCTAGCTGAGTAGTACCAGTTTCCTACCTTTGTATCTGTGATGTTAAATACACTTGTTCTTTAAACCAACTTCGACTTGATTTTCTTATTTTTACTATTGTGCCACGACACAACAAATCAATATGGCTGATGCTAACCTACAGGAGAATGATTCACGACACCTTCTCAAGCTAACATTTTCTACTAACATGAAGTGGATAGAGTATATTGAATCAATTGCTAGCTAACTCTCTTGTCCAATTTGAAGATCCTAGTAACTATATTCTTGATACTTGTTATAATGCATAAATATCACAATGATAAAATCGGTCAATGATTATTTATGACTATTTGTACTGCGACTTGTGTATGCAATTACAAGTAATCCATAATAATATTTTAAATTTTAAAATCATATTTATTTTTGGCATATGAATTGAAACTGTTTCTGAATCTTTGATTGTCTTTCAATCATGCCGCCTCACCTGCTATACTCTTCTGCCACACCTATGAGATGCACCACACCATTTGGAAACCACTGCCCTAATGTCTAAGTGCTGGTTTTACACAAGCAAAGAAAAACTGAAGGCCATTTAATATGCAGAGCAAAATAGGAACCAACCAGTTGGTCATTACTTTGGCTGTTCCAGGTACAATATCTGACTGGTGCAAAAACAAGTTCAAACATCATTACTTGCTGAAAGAAATCATCAGCATTTGAGCTGAGTGAAGGAATACAGAATGGCCAACATTGCAATTAGCAGAACTGATATACATCTCAAAGCATTGGCAATCACAAAGAAGATGGAAACAATTCCTGATAATTTTATGGCCAGTGTTGGGTGGTGTCATTGCTTTATGGTGAGAAACATAATTTATCACTTCATTGCTAGACTCACATAGTACAGAAATTGCTTGTAATGAAAATGACATCCTTTTTGAAGAAAGACAAGATGACTATGGACAATGATGAAAAAGTGGATAAAGATATCTACTAGACTGACAACACAGATAAAACTGTCACAATATTTATCTTTGACACAAACAGCAGCAAAGCAAAATAAATGTGCTTAATATCTAAGGGAATAATGTTTTTTAAAACAAATGCAATGTTTGATTGATAATTATAAACTATTTGTTATATATTAGTTACTTAGTTTGAATTATGCAACTTATTTTAGTTATAGTTCAGCAGATACACAAAAATAGAAAGGGGCATAAGACAAGGATGTTTCTTCTCACCAGACTTATTCAACCTTTACAGCAAAGCAATTCAGAGAGAATTAGAAGTCCTACCAGGGTTAATCATTGGCAGCCACAATATTAACAACATAAGAATATTGATAGCAGACAGAAAGAAAACTACAAAAACTCCTATAGAGGGTAGTGAAGGAAAGAGAGAAAAAAGGATTATCATCAACTTCAAGTAGATAGAATGCATAGTTGTTAGTAAAAGGATGAGCCCAAAATGTGAATTGCAAATTGGGGGTACCAAAATTAAACAAGTGCAGAAATTTAAATATCTAGGAAGTGTTTTAACAAAGGATGTAAAGTGTGACACTGAAATATGAAGGCATATTAGGATAGTCAAAAATGCATTCCAAAAGCTAAGAAAAGTACTAAGAAATAGAAAAACTTTGCTAAAAACAAAGAAAAAAGTATTAAACTGCTATGTGATATCTGTCCTTCTATATGACAGTGAGTGCTGGACAATCTCCTCAAAGACGAAGAAGAGTCTTGAAGCAACAGATATGTGCTTCTACAGAAAGATGCTGAAAAGACCATGGTCCAAACATGTGAGCAACAAGAAAATTTTAGAAAGAAAATAGAAAGAAAATGGAAAGAAAAAGAAAACTTATACTTAACATCAGGAAGAGACAGCTGAGGTTTCTAGGGCACATAATGAGGAAAGAGGGCTTGGAAAATACTTTGTCCATTTGCCACTTTGTTCATTCAACACTGTCCATTCATCATTTTGTCTTTTGACACTTTGTCCTTCAACACTCTGACCTATGACCTTATATAGGTGTCCCATTCATAGTGTCACAACTATACTATTAGCATTACCACTGACTTCAAGATCTACAGTAAAATATACTCTCTATCTTTAAATATCATTTTTTTTCATCATTTCACTCCATGTAAGGCAATAATGCCACTAAGATGCAAGGGGCTACTGGGAGTGAAAGAGAATGAGAAAACTTTAATTGAGAAGGAAGAACAATAAAAGAACAGATTTCAGGAAGACACAAGATGGCGATTGATATTGCATTTAAATTTTTGAAGATTGCAGGTTGCAGGGAAGGAAGGAACTGGAAGAGAGTTCCAGAGGTGAAAAGTGTGAGAAAAGAAACTATTAGAATAGAACTGGTGATTATAGATTTGCCAATATTGAAAAGAATTCATTAGGTGGCATTGTCAAGCACCTATGAAAATAGGATACTTCCTGTTTTCACTCTCTTCTTTCTCTTTTCTGGCCAGCAAGCCTTAGTGGCAACACCATCAAAACACTCTCTAATGGGAATATCTTTCCCCTTAGTAAATGAAATTTCACATACACACATGCATGTATCACCCACATATTTCCTAATTTCTAATGTCTTTTTTCTTTTGCATGCATACTAATGTATTCTCTCTCTTGTCACTCAGCAATATAAAAACCAAAATATAAAATATTGCCTTCTTGAAATCCATTCTATTTCCTTACACCCATCATTTATATATATAAAATATTGTGGCCACTGTTTTTAGTCTAGCTAGAAGTATTACTGCAGCACATACAGCTATTTCAACAGTTAAATGATGAGACCTAATAGACAATCTAGTAGTACACTTAAATTCTCATGGCTGAGGTACCAATGGGAAGAGCTTATTAGAACAACTGCCTTGAAAATAATTATAGGAAAGACAGAGAATTGCCATGTCACGTCTGTGAAAGTGACTGAAGTTGAAATGACTGGTCAGGACCTATAACATTAAAAACCCTTATTTGGATTTTGTTGCGAATCCCCATATATATATATGATCATGCCTTAATACACATACCATGAACATTCTTAACCAAATTATCTCCATCAACTTTAGTTCATTGTAATGCTAAAATTTGACCTGTCAAGAGTCAGATCCAAGAGAGTATTTCAAACAGAGTATGTGCTCAAAACTGGCAACTATAAAGTACTCAATGTCCATGGAAGATAAATTGTGGATTTAGAAAAAAAATTTGTCCTCCAATGGATGACAAGTGCATCATGTGTTCAATTGGAAAATAAATGTTTTGAAATAATTGGCAATGATTACAACAACACAAACATGCAGGAAGACACATACAAAATATAGATATGGATGTGTAAATATATTGAGATACAGAAACGTATTCAGTTTCATATACACAGACAAAAAAAAAGAGTCAAACACACATCAACATATACAATTATGTATACAAGTAAGTGACTTTTTATCCATATATACATAAACAAACACAGGTGAATGCACAGATTTTGACAAATTGGAGATGGTAGGATACCAGTGAATAGAGCTAACAAAATGGTCTCACTTTAGATTATTTATTATTACTAAGATTTTGTAATAATATCTTTAGTTTATTGTCTGAGATGCAAGCATTTTATAATGAATAGCAGAAGAGAGAATAAGAGCAATTGGGAATATATATATATATATATATATATATATATATATATATATATGTTTCATTGAA